GAACCAATTTGATGGCACTTAACAACAACAACAACAAAATGAGAGAACACAGCTCTTGGGGCACTGTGGTTAATTAAGCGCTCGCCTGACTCCATGAAAGTAGGATGTGGCAGTCTGCTCCTAGAACAATTAGAGCGTCTAAAAGTATCCCTGTGGGACAGTTCTACTCTGTCTCCTGGGCTCCCTACAAGTAGAACTGGCTTAATGCCAACACACCAACACAAAATCAAAGACTGCCTTCACCTAAGCCCTCATGATAGAGGCTGTTGTGAGGGGACCTCAGGTCAGGGCCCACTGGCTGGTCCCGCTCCAGCCCCCCAGTTGCTACTAACACGTGTATTATTACCATTGATCTAAATCTGTCTGCATCATCACAAAGGCCCGCGTCTCCGTTTGCGTTTCTCTGACTACCGTTGCCAGGCTTGTTCTGACTCACGGTAACCCCACATGTGCAGAGTGGATCTGTGCGCCGCAGAAGAAGACCGCAAGCCCTGCCTTTTGAGGCACCTCTGGGTACATTCGGACTACCAACCTTTGGCTTATAGTCAAGTGCTTAGCTACCTGTGCCACCCCAAATCATACCAAACCCAGTGCCATCGAGTCAAGTCTGATGCATAGTGATCTTATGTAGGGTTTCTAAGGCCGTAAAAATGTGCAGGAGAAGACAGCCTTATTTTCCTACTGGGGAGTGGTTGGTGGGTTTGAACTGCCAATTTTGCGGTTAAGCAGTTCATTGCTAATCCCTACAGTGTCACCAGGAACTCCCTCATTAGTGAAGTTAAAAAACCTTTTATGAACTATAACTTTGTATATTCCTGTATCTATGAATTGCTGACTAATACATTCGGTCCATTTTTCTATCACTCATTTTGTCTTTTTCTTATTGGCTCCTAGGAACTCTTTATATAATTATAGCCCTCTGGCTGCTCTACATTTGGCAAATGTGACTTTCCACGTTGTCCTCTACCAACTTTATTTTTAGTTTAAAGTAGTTTAAACCTACTACACAGTCAAACTGATCAATCTTATTTTTTTCTTATTATTTATTTCTGGTCTTGAGTCATGGGCCGACGGTGAGTACTCAGTGAAACTGCCCCTTACCCAGCGAGACCAGGTTCCTGTAGTTCTCCATCATCACATCCCTGTATAGGGCCTTCTGAGCAGGTTCCAGCTGCTGCCACTCCTCCTGGGTGAAGTCCACAGTCACATCCCTGAAGGTCACAGATTCCTGGAAGAGGAAACCCACACCGCTCACCCCAGGGCCCTCCTCACACAGGTCTGCAGAAACGACCAGGAAAGCCGGGAGGATTTACACAAGATGGGCAAGGCGCATCTAAAGAGACCTCAACAAGGCACAGGGTCCTCAAGAACCTCAGCCTCTGCCACCCTGAGGCCAGAACTAGATGGTACCCAGGTAGCGCTGCTCACACCTCTGAAAGCAATCACAGTAGGAGGATGTGGACAGAATGGGAGAAAAATATGGAATAAAACTTAAAATGATTCTCAAAAGAGAAAACAATTACCAGCTACAAGAGTTATTCCCATCCCCTCCATACAAAGAGTGGGAAGGGTTGGGCAACTTGAACATTGCCCACCCAAAATGGGGGGAGAGATACAAAGGTAAGAAGTGACTGGCTTCCAAGCTTCCAAGAGGGAACCTAGATCCACAGGGCAGGGAGGAGAGTGGAGTGTCCAGTGAATAGTACCCAGCCTGTCTAGGAAGGGCTGATGAAAAGAAGTGCAGAAGGGTCTCATGGGATGCAATGGTGAAAACTGTTACCAGGACTGATTGTGAGGATTGGAAATGTAAAGGTGGACATTTTATAGCAAGGAGGGGAGTGACTAACCTTTCAGTCTAGGAGCAGAGGGCCCTGGGACCATCAACAGAGAAGAG